TAGTTAAAACTGCCTTTGAAAAGGCTGCGCAATAGGGAAACTCAATTGGGAAGCACGAATCACGAAACAAGTCACGAATCACGCGGCGGGATGCTGTTCAATAGGGAAAACCAATTGGGAAGCACGAACCATGAATCACGAACCACGAATCTTTTTAAATTAGGGAAAATCAATTTAGTGAATTTTTTAAAACTAAAATTGCCTTGGACAAGGCTAAATTGCCTTGGACAAGGCATTTTCAAAGGGAAAACCAATTGGATTTTATATTTACAAATGCATTTGAAAAGGCTTTTTGAAAGGGGAAACCAATTGGGAAAATCTATGTTTAAGTAAAATTGCAAAATCAATTGGATTTTTCAATCAAAATTGCCTTTGAAAAGGCTTTGTAAAAGGAAATAAAATCAATTGGAAAAAAGATTTTTAACTAAAAATGCATCTGAAAAGGCTTTTCCAATTGGAAAATCAATTGAGACAATCTATTTTTAGTTAAAATTGCCTTTAAAAAGGCTGCTTAACAGGGAAACCCTTGGGAAGCACGAATCACGAAACGAATCACGAATCACACGGCTGGAGGTTTTTGTTAAAACTGCCTTTGAAAGGGCTGTTTAATAGCGAAAACCAATTGGGAAGCACGAATCATGAATCACGAAACGAATAATCTATTTATATTTAAAATTGCCTTTGAAAAGGCTGCTTAATAGGGAAACTCAATTGGGAAGCACGAATCACGAAACGCATCACGAATCACGCGGCTGGAGGTTTTAGTCAAAATGGTCTTTGAAAAGGCGGTTTATAATAGGGAAAATCAATTGGGAAGCACGAATCATGAATCACGAATCACGAAACGAATCACGAATCACGAAAGGCTGTTTAATAGAGAAAATCAATTGGGAATCACGAAACGAATCACGAATCACGAACCACGAAACGAATCACGAATCACGATGTGTATCGTAAGGCTATCAAAAATGTGAACAGGGTATGAAAAGGGCATGAAAAGGGTATGAAAAGGGCATGGAATGGGTATGAAAAGGATATGCAAAGGGTATGAAAAGGGTATGAGAGGGTGTGAAAAGGGCACGCAAAGGGTATGAAAACAAGAGAAAAGAATATGAAAACCGCATGAAAAGGACATGTGAAGGGTATGAAGAGGGATGAAAGGGCGCGAAGAGGGTATGAAAAGGATATGAAAAGGGTATGAAAAGGGCGTGGCAAAGGTATGACAAGGATGTGATGAGGGCATGAAAAGGGCATGAGAAGGATATGAAAAGGTTATGAAAAGAGAATGAAAAGGGTATGAGAAGGAATAGTCTGGAGGCCGTCGCTTTGAGGTTGGAGGTCATCGCTTGTAGGGTGGAGGCCATGGCTCTTAGGTAGGAGGCCAATGTAATTTGGTTGGACGCCTAGGGTCGAGGCCATGTGAAAGGCTATGGAAAGGCAGGAAAAGGGTATGAAAAGGATATGTAAAGGGTATGAAAAGGATATGATGAGGGCGCGAAGAGGGTATGAAAAGGGCATGAAAAAAGGATGAAAAGGGCATTGCAAAGGTTTGAAAAGGGCATGAGAAGGATATGAAAAGGGTATGAAAAGGGCATGAAAAGGGTATGAAAAGAGTATGAAAAGGGTATGAACAGGCTATGAAAAGGATATGACAAGGGTATGAAAAGGAGTTGTCTGGAGGCCATCGCTTTGAGGTTGGAGGTCATCGCTTCTAGGGTGGAGGCCATGGCTCTTAGGTAGGAGGCCAATGTAATTTTGTCGGACGCCTAGGGTGGAGGCCATCGCTATTAGGGTGGAGGGATGCGAAAGGCTATGGAAAGGCATGAGAAGGGTATGGAAAGGGCATAAAAAGGGTATGAAAAGGATATGCAAAGGGCATGAAAAGGGTATGAACAGCGCATGAAAAGGGTATGGGAAGGATGAAGTGGATTTGAAAGGGAAATGAAAAGGACGTGAAAAGGATATGAATATGGTATGAAAAGGGCGTGAAAAGGACATGAAAAGGGCATGAAAAGAAGGGTATGAAAAGGACATGAAAAGGGTATGAAAAGGGCCTGAAGAGGGTATGAAAAGGATATGATGAGGGCATGAAAGGGGATTGAAAAGGGTATGAAAAGGAAATGTAAAAATATCAAGGCAAGGGCGTGAACAGGACAAGAAAAGCATGAACAGGGTGTGAAAAGGGTGAAAATGGCCGTGTGAAAAGGGTATGAAAAACGTATGAGAAGGATATGAAAAGGGAATGAAGCAGAGTATGAAAAGGGCATGAACAGGGTATGAAAAGGGTATGAGAAGGGAGTGAAAAGGGTATGAGAAGGACATAAAAAGGGCATGAAAAGCGTATGAAAAGGGTATGGAGAGGGCGTGAAAAGGGTATGAAAAGGTATGTCAAGGATATGCAACGGACATGAAAAGGGTATGAAAAAGGTATGGAAAGGGTATGAAAAGGGTACCAAAAGCTTGTGAAAAGAGTGTGATCAGGGTATGGAAAGTGTATGAAAAGGGTTTGAAAAGGGAACGATAAGGGTATGGAAAGGGTATGAAAAGGCTTTGAAAAGGATATGAAAAGGGTATGAAACGGGTATGCAAAGCGTATGAAAAGGTTATGAAAAGGGCATGAAAAGGGTATGAAAATGGCATGAAAGGGAGTGGAAAGGGTATGAGAAGGATACGCAAATGGTAGGAAAAGGGCATGCAAATGGTATGACAGGGCCTGAAAAAGGTATGACAAGCGTATGAACAGGGTATGAGCCGATGGCAAGTAGGCTGGAGGCCATCGCTCTTGGGTTGGAGGCTATTGCAATTAGGTTGGGGGCCTTCCAGAGTAGAATTGATACTTGTCGGGGATGTCGTACTTCGTTGCGAGGTCTTGAGCGCTGCCAGTATCGGCTATCCAATCTGAAAGTAGAAAGTGATCAACCTGATGTTCAGAAGCAGCGGGTGTCGCGTATAGATTCTTGGGTATGCAACAGTCGCAACCTATCGTGGACTTACACAAGAAGCGACACCTAGCTTGAACCCTTCCAACTCATTTCGGACAGCGCCTGCGAGCATCTTTGCCGACAGGGTCGAATCTTCAACGGCTGGCGGATTGGAGCTGAAAGCTTAATCGGTTAGGTAAAACTTCGATGGCGTGGATTCTTCTTCCCAACCTCGTATCGAAACAAGTCACCAGTAGTAGCGTATTCAGCGATGCTGTGGATCCGATCACCGTTCGACTCGAGCCTTTCCCTCCAGAGATACCTCTGCGCCGCATCGACAAGGAACTTGTAGGAATGGTTGTCGGAACCTTCTTCAGCTCTGTGCATTTCGATGTCATGTTGAATAGCGCGGACATTCTTGACCGAACGCACCGTGCTTGATGTTTGCGCTGAAGAATTCATCCATCAACAGAATTTGCCTGCCTCTAACAGGGCGGTCTGCAGCAGATTCCTTCTCTTTGAATGTATTCACCTTCCTATTTCACTTGGCGTCAACTCCCTTTGGAGGCCTATCTCCATCCCCTGGCGCGGGAGGAGGGGATCACCTCCGCGCGCTCCGTTCACAGTACTCCCGGACGAAAATCGTCAATTGGCTTAATTGGATCTGCCGTTCTTGGTCCCAGAGGTGTTCCAATGATTCCTATTGGGGAAATGAAGGTCCCAATCCCACCGAAGAGGTTAACTACTCACCATCCATTGCTCGTCCTGGTACCCTTCGTCCAACGATCAAACATGAAGGAAGAGCCAACCTTCCGGAAACCGTGGGGTAGGAGGTGAACATGTCGTTCTTGTTCCTTGCGTAACGAACAGCAGTCAGTTGAGTTTGCAAATCGCTTTGTGACTTTAAGGCCTGCCTCAGCTTCAGATGAAGACTTTCGGCTTGCTGGTTCTGACGCTGAACATGGACGTCTACGAACGCGGGCATGTTGGCCTCGTGTTTCAATATTTTGTTTTCGCGAAACATTTGGGCTGCTTCATTCATGATCCTCACTCCCTGTGCTCTCAACTCGTCACGCTGGGTACTCACGAATTGTTGGAGTTGTTCACATTGTAAATCCATGGCTTGCCGGCGACGTTCTTCGCCAAGGGCCTCAACCAAACTGGCATCCGTGGAATGGGTTTGGTGAACACGCTGATTCCCGACATTCATCTGGTTCTGATGATGAATCGGCGCAGCATTCCCGCTTGCGTCCGGGACTGCAGGTGTGTACAAGGGTATGTCACGCCAAAGCGGCGCGACAAGGTACCTTGAATCTGCAGGCGCGAGCGCGACGGGACTTGCAACCTCAGGCGTTGCTTCGCGCGCCGGCGTAGCATCCCGGTCAGACGAAATGTCTATAATTGCCGGGGTCCCTGTGGCCTCCAATGGAAACGGCACGCGCGGAACAAAAGAGCTAGGGGCAAGAAGGAAAGAGGCCTACGGCTGATAACCTATTTCAAACAGGCGTCGGCCAATAAGATACACCTTTGTCCTTGAGCCAAATATGCACGGATATGTCCTATGTACACGAGTACAAGCAGTTAAAAATTATGATGGTTGATCAACAGTCGTGCTCGGGCGCGAGACCTCGTTGAGACCCCTGGGATTGGGCTGGATACCCTCGTTGCGCGTGTCCGAATATGAGCACCAGTCTCATGGACTGGACTACGCAGCAAATGCAATTCATTAAGGAATTTATTGCTTCCAAAGTCGGAAGCCTTTTGCTAGGTTGGACCAGGTTTTGGCATCGTCGCTGCGCAATCAACATGAAGATGAAGTTCATGAAAGAAACATGAAGCTGAAGGTCGCAAAGAGAGCGTGAAGATGAAGGTGAAGCGACGACGGAACCAAGCGCGTGAAACAGCGATGAAATGACTGAACATAATCAGCCCGCCGTACACACTCTCTACCCACACCCATCGACAAACCGAACGTCAAAACTTGTGTCATGCATGAACATATCATATTAACATAAGACACCGTCACGCCAGCATACACTGAGGTTCCCATTACGTTGGCATCAGCGCACACAAAGGCACCTCTGCCGCAACAAAGATCGTTGTGTTGAAGGAGAACTCCAGCTGTTGTAATCGTGAAACCATTTCTTGCGATTGCGAAATCGGCCAAGCTTCCTTTGACGAAGGTAGATGAAACCCGTTGAACGTGTGCTGCAAACTGTCGGATATCTTTTGCGCTGCCATCTTGAAGTCCTGCCTATATTCTAAATGCTGGCCGATGAACGACGCCAACCCCAAGTTCCATGCCTCCACCCTCAGAAAACCTGGCCCCACTCCCAGGTCGACAAAAACACTCGTGATATTTGTCTCTTGCGTAAGCGCGCGAACTTTGGAACAAATTGATTGCATGCGGTCTCCTCTCATTTCAGGATCCTGCTTCAAAGTGACAACTTTCGCGCTGGGAGGTCTACTTGGAATAAACGTCATATTCAATTGGCTGAGGCCATTGGCAATGGTTGCGGTGTTGTAATAGTGCTGCAAGGAAACTTGTGAACCTGAAGCCGTGATCAGCAAAGGCTCAACGATGGCAACAGCTCCAAGCAGGTACGCTGCAGCAAAACCGTGCAACAACCCAATGTTCTGCTGCGTCAGGCCCGCCGAAGCATGGACACCATGGATACCCACAACTAATGAGATTTCCTTTTCAAAGCACCGATACGTTCGATCCCAACCTTCAACGTTCCAACCGACTCCAGTAGGTGTACTGCGCGCAGGATACGTAGCCAATTCCGGGCTGGTGTGGATTCTGCACCTCACCCACCAGTCCGAAGAAATAAGTTGGCGATGCAGAAGTGCAAGAACAAGAAAACCGACTAAAGCAACCACCCATTTGAACGCCATACATTTCAATGAAAGAGGCAAAATTGAGCCGCAAAGCTGCGCACAGGGCAACATCAAGTCGCGCCAATAGAAAAACGCAATCGTGATGGTTTTGGTAAAAGCACTCGAGTAAGCAGCAATTCACCCATGGCCTGATATTTCAGCGAAGGTTGAATCCCGATTTTGAAATTCAACAGAACATTGACTGACACTGGGGCTCAGGGTTTTACAAGAGGTTAAACGGATTTGCCAATTTCACAGTGCTTCGCTAAACGTTCCACGTGGCTCACGGTGCAAAAACCACTGCTTTGTTAAACCACTGCTTTTAGTTTTGGCTGCGCCTCCTCTAAACTTGGTCCCCCGGTCCCAGCTACAATCTACAAGTGATAAAAACAACTAGACGACGGTTGGCCCGAGAGCGAGACAGGTGATTGTTCAGCGCTGTCGAGTTATGAAACAATAAAAATCGAGTTGTCCAAGAGCCATGACTTCTTTATACAATCTGTTATTGAGTAAGAAGTTGCGAAGAAATAAAACTTAAAATATAAACTAGACGACGAGTGGCCCGAAAACATTTTTCATCACGTAGGAAGTCAGAGTGTGAGTTATCTGTTAAGCGTTCAGTGTGAAGTGTTAAGTCCAGTGAGTTGAGGCAGTGTGTGTGGGTCTCTGTGTGTGATGTGTGTGTATGAGTCCCTGTCTGTGTGTGTGTCTATGTCTGCTGCTGGTGAAGGTCTTCACTGTAGATATAGTGAACGAAGTAGCGCGCAGGCCTCCCAAACCCCCCGCCGGCGGCCAAGCGGTGACAGCTCAGCTCATCGTCGTGAGCATTTGAACTGCTGGTAAGGGCAAATGGTGAATTTCTTCACTGCAGAAGAGTATACCTGGCCAGAAAAACAAGAGGGTTGGCGAGAAACCTATAAGATGTCTCTTGTGCTAGGCTGTTTACTGAGTTTAGAGGCTGAAGCTCATTGTGGCGCCGCGCCGATCTTTGTCTGCCTGGGCCGTCTAGTCCCGCGCGACGACACTTCTGCAGAACGGCGTCCATGTCGTCGCGGCAATACACTTTCGCAGAACGGCGTCCATGTCCCGAGCCTCTCAGAGAGCATATGCCTCGTGAGCATGCTTGCACAGCAAGGCCTCCCAATGCCTCAGCGCCCATAGAATATAGTCTCGATTTTTCCACGGCCGCAAGGAAGGTCGGTACCGCAAAATCTGTTCAATGGCTTCACGCGCCTGGAAACCTTCTCTGGCCATCAAACACGCGGCCAGCGCCGCTGGGCTACGATGTATGCCACCGTAGCAATGGAAGAGCGCGACTTGTTTCCGCCCCAGCGTGGCACGCCTGGCATTCAAAGCGCGCGCGATCTCTGACCATACCCGACAGTTCCTTTGGGCCTGCTGCGCGTACAGCGTCGGATCCTTGGTCACTTTGACCGTCAAATCATCCAGAGCGTACACACATTGTTGGGCATTGTGCAGGCGTAAATACACATCCCAACTCTCTGGTGTCCCTTTGGCCTGCAAGTCCTTGGCACAGAGCGTCACTAGCGTGTCCACTTGGACGCCGCAGCTATGCGCCACTTCGGCCAAGTTCGCCGCAGATTTCAAACTGCCCAGGACATAGACCATATCGTTGGACTCATAGACGATGGTCGCATCCAAGGGCCACGCACGGAGATCTCCCAAATTGTAAGGATGGTTCCAAATCACGTAATCCAGATGCCTCCATGGCCCTTGGTTGAAGTACGTCTGAATGAGATCCTTCATATCGTCGATCCACTTTTGCGCACAAGGTTCCACACGCAATTGCGGCAGGGATGGCTGCATGTGATTCATACCAGGGCAATTTCTCCGAAGCCTAGATGTTATGAATACTTGAGCCAAAAAGCCATAACCCTGACAGAAATGGTTAGTTGTTGCTGAAATGGTAAAGCAAATTAAATATCTCTTCTTTCATGACATCATGGAAAAGAAACTACTGCGAAAAGAAACTTTCACGCTATCATAGATCTAAAGCTTAGCTGTTCTCTTTGGGATCCCGTACCTCGCTGCGGCGTTGCGTCCACCCCCTACAGAACTTCCGCAGAAGAACGTCCATGCCCTGAGAGACAATTGCGTCGGATCTGGACCAACACGCAAAGCAAACTATAACACAGAAGCAGAGTACTCCCCATGACTATTGTGAAAGGAAACTTTCATGATATCCAAGATCTACAGCTTATCTGTCCCTTCGGGCTCCCACGCCTCGCTGAGGCGTTGCGTCCACCCCCCAAAGAACTTCCGCAGAATGACGTCCAGTCCCTGAGCGATAATTGCGTCGGAGCTTGCCCAAATTGCAAAGCAAAGTGTAACACAGAACCAGAGTACTCCCCATCACTATTGCAAAAAGAAACTTGCGAAAAAGCAGCTATCTAAAAACCTAAAGCTGAAAATCTAAAGCTTATCTATTCTCTTTGGGATCCCGAACCTTGCTGAGGCGTTGCTGCCTCTCCCCAAAGACCTTCCCGGAGTCATGCAGAGATAAACATGAGGATCTAAAGTCGACAAGTGTGTACCCGCCTTCAAAACACAGTCTACCCCAAAAGTGCTGGCGCCGCCGCAGGTGCGCGGACACTCGTCGTCCTCTTTTGCACAGGGAGGCTTCGCCGGTCGCAAAGTAACGCGCGCGCAGAGCATGTGTCGCCGACGCAAGCTTCCGCAGTACGACGTCCGCCTGCGCCGACGTCCCTTCAGCTTCCTCGTCTAGGCGCTGGTCGTCGCGGCTGGAAGTGGAAGACAGGCAAATTTCCAATGTACTCTACATTGAGGTAGCCTCGTTCCACGTCTCTATACTTTCCAGAGGAACATCTTCGCAAACACTCAGCACAGACCGCCGCAACTCCGTCGCAGGAAAACTTACTGCTGCCTTTGCTATGAGGTCTGCTGCAGGAACGGCCCGGCACTCTCATAGCCAGCGCCAAAAGTGATACTTCACATCATCTTCAGCGCCAGGCGCTCGCAGAGGACAGAGCGACAGAACGATGCTATCCACTAGCCTGTTGCGATGCATGTGCTCGCAAGGTAAGCCCAACTCGGTAGCTATATCCACCAAAGACGGCTCAGCGTTCCTCATATGCACCTGCTTCAGACGCCCTCGGAGGGCCGGCGGCGCTTGTCCCAGCTCCCGCGCCAAGCAACGCAATGACTCCGCAGTTACCGGTTCCTCCGCCGTGACGCTTCCGCAGAAAAATTCAGCGTGGGTGTTATATATATCGACACCGAACATATCTCCAAACAGCAAACCCGTCCTCCACGTTCGGCAGCACCGCCTGCTGCGTGGGATTTTGCAAGAATACCAAACGTAGAGACCTACTTGCGCAAAAACAGACTGTGAGCAAAGTTGAACTATATACACTACGCCCATGCCCTAACACAACCCCTCCTGCGATGAGAAGCTGTCCACTATGGATTCTAGCGGCTGATCGCTCCGCAGAGTTGCGCCGCCGCGACGCTGCGCCACTCCAAACTTCGCACACAGCTTGCGCAAGTCGGCGCAGCTCTTTGCCTCCAGCTCGGCGCGCAGCCATGGCGCGCCTCCCTCGCCGTGTCCATCTCGCAGGCGCTGTACCTCTTGCTCCTGCTCTGCCAGAGTCCACTTGTCACAGTCAACCCAAACGAACCAGTGACACCTCACTTGACCTCATAACCTCTGCGACGCTTCCGCCGCGCTACATTCAGGTTGGGTGTGTCTTATATCTAGACATCTTGTTCTAGACATTTTTTCTTCCCCGAACACATCTATACATCACCCAACCGTCCTCCACATTCGGCTGCACCGCTTCCTGTATGGGAATTTGCATGGATACCAGAAGCAGACACCTATTTGAACAAAAACAGATTGTAAGCCAGGTTGAACTATACACTACGCCCATCCCCTAACACAGGTTGGGTGTCTTTTATCTAGGGTGTCTTAGGTCTAGATATCTTTTTCTGCCCCGAACACATCTACAAATCGCAAAACCGTCCTGCGGTCCCTCCTTTGATTGGTAACTTCCCGAGGACTGATGATGGCGCAACTGCAGTTGAACCATGAGGTACACCATGCTTTTGCCGAGCTGTCAGTAGTGCACTTCTCACTCCACCAATGAGGCAGTCGACAAAGTACTTGGTTCTGGTAACTTGGTGACCATCGACCTCAACGGAAACATGCTCTGACAACATGGCAGGATCCTCAACCATTGCCATTGGATTCTCTGATTGTTCTGATTGGTGGGTCTGTCCTTTGCTTTTGCCCTTGCCAGATTTGGCCTTGGCCTTGCCAGATTTGGCATCAAAGGGTGCTCCACTGCTTCATGGCTCATCTACTTGTTTCATATCAGCAGTGACCTTCGTTGGTGCAAGCGTGCAAATAGGACACAGAAAATTCGAGACTTTATCCACAAGATGGTTTAGAAAGTGGAATCTGAGATGCAGCCTGGCCCAGAGCAGAATAGGATTCTAGTCAGCCGAGCTGCTGAAGGTCTCAGCGACGTCGCCATTACCATCACGAACAGGGGTATGGTGTGGTTTAGTTCCTGGGTTAATTCGGAGCATGGGACGCAAGTGCTGAACCAGGTGAAGAGGATTTGGCGGTCAATGAGAGAGCAAATGAATCAGGGATTGGGAGAATTGTTGCCTGATGGCGCGTGCCACATTCGTGACTTGGTGACTTTCGTCCCGAATGTGAAGAGTTTCAGAAATCAAAATGGACTCAAAATGTTGAGTCTGCAGCAGGTGTTTGACAAACTTTTTGTTTGGCGCATTGGGTTTTTGTCAAGGAAGTTGGATGAATTGTTGGTGGGCATTGCGCTAGAAAGACTTGATGCTGGCTTTGTCCCTCCTGCACGTGTGACCCCAGGGGGGCATGTCAAGGTAGACCCATCGGTAGTTTGGCAATTGGTTCAAGATGCTCGCGCAAGGAAGCATTCATTGTTGGAAATACTGCAAAGACGCTTGCTCGACTCAGAACGAGAACAGTTCAATTCCCGTTTCAAGGACTGCTCTGAGTCGCAGGCGTGGAATTGGCAGACAGCCTATT